GAACTGGGAAGCGACGGCCCCACAGCTGCCCCTAAAAGCTCTAAGTCCCGTAAATTAATAAGGTTTCAAGGGAGCCTTGCACCGGGCGATCCTCAGCACTGCTCCCTGGGTAAATGCATTGCACTGCTGAGAGAGCAGCAAGGCTGAAATGAGTCAAGGGCCTTTTCAAGAGTTGCCAAAGATCATTTTTTCCCAGATGCCATCGGTCCAGTGGGATGTGGCCCTGATGGAGATGGTCACTGGCTCCAGCCGCTCCAGGGGGGACAGCAGGCAGGCAGGAGTGCAAGTCCAGGGTTTTGGGCAGAGCACGGCCATACCATGCGCTAGCCGGGTGGCACACATGCCCCAGCACCTGGGCACAGAGCCCTTCGGAGGACATTCTGCAGACTCAGCAAACACACTTACAACATGGATTTTGCTCTGCCCTGTCAACAAGCAAGTTTCCACATGATCCAAGCGCTACGCCAACAACACGGAATTACAAAACTCCAATTTATCGTGTGTTTTCTTAATTCCCAGCTCTCGAGATGGCTACTGGGCGGGTGACACCGTAGTCCCACCAAGAAAGAGGATCCCTTGAGAGGGACCTTGCCCAAGCAGAAGAGGAAGTGGGGGGCAGTAACCCCCCTAACCCGGAGCAGACCAGGAGCTCGGTGATGGCCACGCCGGGCAGCAGTGTCACACAGGGTGAGGGTGATGGGACCACATATGAGCAGGGGCCGCGCGGCTCCACAGCCGCTTGCAGCATCACAGCAGCCCGTCGGTGCCCCAGCACCTGCCTGCCTGGGCTAGGCCATGGTTAGAAAATCTGTTTGCACAAGAACAAAAATATTTGCGCAAGAGGTGTTTTCTCAGCTATTCAAAGATTCGCTCCTTCTCCCCCTGTGTCGGAGGGATGCCTCCTTGCTCTGCAGGCGCTTCAGCATCTGATTTCACTTTACAGGAATCTCTCTGACCTCGTTTCCCACACACTGCTCTTCATCTAATAGCAGAAAGCGTGTTTTAGAAGGCAGCAGTGAAATGCACTGACCGCTTTCAGAGGGGTCATTTGGGAGAACTAAGACCCATCCAGCCTCTACAGTGAATTTGCTCCGCGAGTGCCCGAGCCATCTACCGGCCGCTCATTCCACATGGTTTTCATAATCTCCGTGCCTGGGTTGAAGCATCCCTGATGCTGGATCGTAAACGGGGTTTGCGATCTGGGGAGCACCCGGCAAAGGCTGGCAGGAGATTGGCATCGCCCTGCGCTGAAATTAATGTAGTAGCCAGCAGTGCTGTGGCAGAGCTGCCCAGAACATGAAGTATTTCTAGAATTACTACTGATTTATGGGGATTCACAATATAAGAGAAAACCTCATGGTGTTTTCACGCTCAACACATGAAATTTATAATACATTAAGGATTCCTCTGCAAACCAGATAAACCCGAGCATGTCATACATGCCTACCACTTACTTTTGGTATGCTAAATTTGCAGTCTAACGACAGTTATTTACGGACACTGCAAATTAAGTAAACAATTACTGTGGACTGAATAATTATTAAGATTACATTAATATTAATGCTTAAAACAATACACTCCTAACGCCTTACTTCCACACGGGAGCAGGCATGCATTGCCTGTCTTTACTGTGGTTCTTGCACAGCCCCAGGGCAGGGTCGGGCAGGCCGACGGCTGCTGCCTGCTGCTGCCTGCAAACCCCTGATTTTTCCAAATCGGCCCCCACCCCAGCTCCCACTCTGCTCTTATCACTGGGGACAGCTTTGGCTGCGTGGTGGCCCAGGCCTGGCATCAAGATGACACCTCCAGCCTCTCCCCAAGCAGGAGGTGTCTGAATCCTCCCCAATTTACTGCATGACATTGGCTCTCCATCCCTTACCCCAAGTGGCAGGAGATCTCTGCCTGGCCTGGGTAAATGCTGCCATCTGCTCCTCCTCCCCCAGCACTGCCGCAGCAGCGGCTCCCAGCCTGTGCCTCCACCGCCCCATGCGCCCATGTAACCCTCTGATCACCTCTGCTGGAGAGATGCTTCCCCGGCCTGCCCTCGCCCGCTGCCGGCACAGGCATCCTCAGCTCTGCCGGGGCAAACCGCCCCAACGCCGAGCGGGCACCCTGCTGTACCCCGCCAGGGAGCTCCATCACCCCAGCAAGTCAAGCGCTGTGCGTATTTTAAACTGCACCTTGCTCCTGAGTGCCCTGGAGTTATTTCAGAAGATGACAGCGTTGCTCAGATCTCTGCAAATGGCTTTAGCAGCTATCTACGTATCTCACTCCAGGCAAAGCCAAGAGTCACGTGTAAAGCAGTAATAGTTCACAGATAGGAAAACGCAATATAAAAAGCTCCTGTCCCGAGGCCAAAGCTGCTACCGGCTCCTTCAGAGCAGACGCTGCTGACCTCGCCTGCTGCGTAAAC